GCAAAATGGAGTCCGCTCTGTTCTGAGTAACTCTGGCAATATACACTTTTAATTTCTTTCTTAGCACAAAATGTCTGCCGATATAAATATCCTGACAGTATTCTTCCCAGCCAGTTTTACCGAGGTAGACGTGGTCAATAGGACTTGGAATGGACCATCAAACCTTGGCTCAAGAGTGTGCTTTCTCAGGAATTTCTTGACCATAACCCAGTCACCAGGAAGGATTTTATGTGTACCTATATTTGATTCTGGATCTGGAATAGAAGAAAACACCTGTGCATGGATTTTGGTCAAGGCATGAGAGAGTGCAGTTATATAATCTATCATTGCATCTGACTGAGTTTGAAGTTGTTGAGGAAAGTAACAGCCTAACCTGGGTGCTGTACAAAATAAAATCTCATAGGGGGATAAGCTAAATCTCCCTCTTGGAGTGTACCTTACACTAAATAGTGCTATGGGAAGACTTTCCAGCCAGGGTAGGTTAGTTTCTTGGGCCATCTTAAGCATTCTGGCTTTCAAGGTGCCATCCATGCGTTCTACCTTACCACTACGCTGTGGGTGATAGGGTGTGTAGAATGCAAGGGTCACCCCCAGTGCTGCCCAGATTTCCTTGGTTAGCAACGCGGTGAAGGATGTTTCCTGGTCACTTTCAATCACCTCAGGAACTCCATATCTGCAGATGATTTCGGTAATAGGCGCTTTGCTGTGGTCTTCGCAGTGAGATTAGTGACAGGAAAAGCTTCTGGCTATCCTGAAAACATATCCACTAGGACCAGTGCATATTCATACCGGCCACTTTTTGGCATATGAATATGATCAATTTGGATCCTTTGGAAAGGGTACTGTGGCTTGGCCAAATGGTTTGGTGCGGCTTTAATTATTTTTCCCGGATTACATCTGGCGCAGATAGTACAGGATCTGCAGTAATTTCTTGTCAAAGTAGTGATTCCGGGTGCCTCAAAATATTTATCAATCAGGGAGTTCATGAGGTGCTTGGATAAATGGGCTGGTCCATGGGCCCACTGAACGACAGCTGGGTACATATTCTTGGGTAGACAGAATTTGAGGTTGATTGTGTACACTTCATTCTGGAAGGTTGCCCCTTTATCTTTCCAACTTTATTTTTCCTGAGGGGTGGCAGCGGCCTGTTGTTCTCTTAGGAACTTGAGATCGGTAGGTAGGGTTTGCATAGTGTAAATAGGATGGAAGTAAATAGGAGTCTGTTCAACGAGCACTCTTCTGTCTTCTGACCACTTCCCGACACTGGCGTGCCGCATCTTTAGCAGCCTGATCAGCTAAGTAATTGCCACATGCTTCTTCTGAATTCAATCTCCTGTGGGCCTTTACCTTCAATATGGCCACCTCTTCAGGGAGCAGTAAGGCATCCATTAATTCGTTGATAGCTGCACCATGTTTCACCGGAGTACCTGCTGCTGTAAGAAACCCCCTTGTTTTCCAGATTAAGCCAAAATCATGTGCTATGCCCAGGGCATACCTTGAGTCTGTATAGATATTAACACGCTTCCCTTCAGACATCTTACATGCTGCTGTAAGGGCTATTAGTTCGGCTTTTTGTGCTGACTTAGATTATGGAAGTGAAGATGCTTGGAGTACTCGGTCTTCTGTGGTGACAGCATATCAGGTATGATATTGTCCCTGTACGTCAGCAAATCTAGAACCATCCACAAACAGGGTGGAGTCAGGATCTGGAGGAGCAGCTTCATGCACCGTTGGGAGATGGGTTGTCTCCATTTTCATCTGTTCAAAACAGTCACGAGGGGCATCAGAGTCCTGTTCTGTAGGAGGGATGTCTTCACATATCTCTGTATGATAATCTAGGGTAACCGACTGTTTTGAAATGTATGGTCCTTTTAGTGACCCCCGTCAATGTGAGCTGTTCTTGAGTTACGGTACTCCATGTTTTGGCCATTGGGCCATGTACTTTCCATGAGAAATTTGGAGATTTGGTGAAAGAGATATGAGGAACTGCCACCTCCCAGTGGTGGTATAAATGTGATACCTCCATGGGCAGGTAGACCAAGATAACAGTATTAGTGATGTACCGAACGGTTCGCCGGCGAACGGTTCCTGGCGAACATAGCATGTTCGCGTTCGCCACGGTGGGCGAACATATGCGCGGTTCGACCCGCCCCCTATTCGTCATCATTGAGTAAACTTTGACCCTGTACCTCACAGTCAGCAGACACATTCCAGCCAATTAGCAGTACACCCTCCCTAGCAGACCCTCCCACCTCCTGGAAGGCATCCATTTAGATTCATTCTCAAGCTGCATGCTTAGTAAGAGGAGGGAAAGTGTAGCTGCTGTTCATAAGATAGGGAAAAGCATAGCTAGGTTAGGGATAAGGGTATGCTTTTTTTTATTTTTATTTTTCTATGTAATGTAATTGCA